GGCCACGGGCTGCGGTCTCTCCGCCTCGAGCCGCGCGGTTGCGAGGGCCTCCCAGCAGTTGCCTCCTGGCCATGGGGCGCGATGAGCGGGGGGCTCCGAGGCTGGCACCAGCACCGACATCGGCGTTTGCCTTTGAGTCGGGCCTGTCCCCCTACAGGGGGGTTTTGGGCGAAAAATGAAAAATATGCAAAAAGATACACCGAAATGGTCAACAAATATTCCAAAAATAGTCCCCCGACTATTTTTGGATTATTTGTTGATTATTTTTGGTGTATTTTTTATTTTTCGTCGAAAATCCCCCTGTAGGGGGACACGCCCGACATAAGTTGAGGGGAGGGCTATCCCGATCTCGGTGGTTGTAACAGTCGGGCTTCTTGGGCGGCCAGAGCAATAGCAACAGCACCAATAATTACCCAGGACCGCTTTTCTCCAGCGGAGCTCCCCCCCCTGTGTTCAGAGGGGCACGAGGTTATGATGATGATGCTTTCCAAGATGTTTGAAGGTCTTCCCAGATTCCCACGTGCCCCACACGGCGCTGCAGAGACGAGGGCCGCTGGATACTCTGTGGAAGTCTTGAAGAGGATCCTGAGCCCCTGGTGTCAGCTTCGAGGTCTCCAGGATGGCTGCCTTCTCACAGCCGCCCTCATCGCGATCGCGCGTGGCCGCTCCAAGGGCTCGCCGCGGCGCGCCGGCCTCTCCCGCCCCCCACCCACTCCCGGAGAGGTGTCCACCGTGACGGGCTGCAAAGCAGGCGACGGGGGCGTGCCAGTGGCGGTACAGTCGGGGCCCTGAAGAAGGAACCCTTTTCGTTGGGGAGGGGCTCCGCGTTCCTTAAGTGTTTCGCAGCTTGCCTTGGGTTTTCCTTAGGTTTTCGATCGGAAATCGAAGGTTAACTTATGGAAAATAGGGGCCTCGTTCCTTATTTAGGGTTCCTTAGGTCAACGCCTCGACTGTATTGCTGGGGGGGAGATGGGCGCAGGGGTAGGAGCAAGTCGGGCATGTCCCTCTGCAGGAGGAGTGCAGGCGGCCTGGATTGGCAGGGCGACCCTGCCAAGTCGAGGGCACCCTCGTGTCCTGTGTCTTGCGACCCATGCCTCCTGCAGTTCTGTGGCGACGTGGCCCTGGGAAGGGTCTTGTGTCCTCTCGGGTGTCCTCCCCAACCAAGCCCGACTGCATTCACAAACAATCTTGCAACAAAAAAGCCGGCGACGTGCTCACGCGCGCGTCGTCGCGCGCGCATGCCGGAATCTTTCAAAACTTTCGGTTCCGGAAGGAGTCCAAAACCGAATGTCCCAAAAACATGTATTAAGTACTGAGCATTTGGTGGTTCTGCTGCTTTTACTTCTCCGTCCAAAGCCCCCCTGCAGGAGGACGTTACGGCCGTTACGGGGCGTGAAAACGACCACAGCCACTGCTTTTCTTTTGTTGCCGCCTTCCAGCCCGCAGAAACAAAGCAGTGGCTGTGGTCATCGTCGTTGAGCTCGGCACCAGGGAAAGGACCACAGCCACGTGCTGCTTTTTCGGCCGGCTGGATCGCGGCGCAAACAAGAAGCAGTGGCTCACCACCCACCAAACCACCCCAACCCAACCCGAAGGCTCAGATTTACCCTCGATTTCTAGTAGGGGGGGGGGTCCGGGAACATCGAAAAAACACACACATGGAGCCCATACCCCCCCCAACCCGAAATGCGGGCCTTCGGGTTGGGTTGGGGTGGTCTGGTAGGTAGTCAGTGGCTGCGGTCACTCTCCCGCCCCGCAGACGTGCCCGACCCACGGGCAGGGCATGGCATCGCGAGCCCACCCGCCGCCCACCCATCGCCGAGAGGGGGGGGGGCCCCCGCCGGCCCGCCCCGCCCGGGGGCTTCGTGCGCCTCCGCCGCCGGAGAGGCCGCCTGCCGCTCTGCCCCCGCGACGTGCGCGCGATGCGGAGGTCGACGCCCTGACCTTCCAGGGAGGGCTACAAAATAGCACCAGGACGTCGACGTCCTCATTCCTGTCGAGGTTTGAGACAGTCCATATACATCTCAGGCGATGCTGAAGAGAACTTTTTTTTTCGGTCAGAGTCTCGATTATTCTTAATGTTTCAATGTAAATCCTAATTTTGTCATAGAAATGTTGGGTTCTCATTCAAATTCTGAGACTATGAATTTCTTAACCCATGATTTCTTAAGCATTTCGCAGGGTGTAGATCTATAGGTCTGGAGTGCTACTTTTTAGCACTCTCTGGAAGGTCAGGGCAGACCTCCTGCCCTGACGTCTGATCTGCAGGGCGAGAGCGAACCTCTTCCGCTGAAAGCCAAGCGGGACGCGCACAGCTTTACTCGGCAGAGACAGGGCGGCAGAAGGCGGGGCCTCACGCGGCCGGGAGAGGGCGAGGCCCAGGGATCAGGCGGTGCCGAAGTTGACGTGCAGGAAAACCTCCTGCCCTGACACGCCGATTAAGGAACTGGCCGCTTCCGCTCCGCGAGAGGGCGTCGCGGCCGTCCTTGTTACGGGTCCAGGCCCGTCGGTTTCGGCCCCAGGCCGTTTGCACCAAAGGGTGGTTGAGTCAAGGGAGGTTTGTCCGCCGCCGAGTTTCCCTCCGAACCGGTGCCCCCCCACGAGCGGCCTCTGGTGCGTGTTTTGTCGGGGGGCCAGTGCCCCGTCCTGGCTGCAGTGGAGACCCCTGCCGAGAAGCACACTCCCTGCCTCCAGGGTGCCCTGGGTTTTTCTTGGGTGTCGATGCTTTTGCTACGGAAGGCGTGACGTTCCCGCATCAACAGAAATCAGTGGACGTCCTGGGGTCTCAGGGTTGGGTTTCTTGTGGGAGGTTTCTTGTGGTCGAGCTCCACTGGCATTCTTTTGCAGACGTTCTGGTCGGTTCCTGGAGGTCTCCTTGCCTCGGGCTGCATTCCAGCAGCCGCGCCTCGCCGAGGGCGTTCCAGGAACGCCATATCGTCTCAAGCGGCCGCCGCAGAATCGATGCATGACCCAACAAGCGTCGGACGTGAAAGTGACCCTTCGCCAGGAGGAGGAGGAGGAGGAGGAGGAGGAGGAGGAGGAGGAGGAGGAGGAGGAGGAGGAGCAGGGATAGGAGGAGAACAAGTGGAGGAGGAGGAGGAGAGGAGGGAGGAGGAGGAGGAGGAGGAGGAAGAGGAGGAGGCAGGAGGAGGGGAGGGAGAGGAGGAGGAGGAGGAGGGAGGAGGAGGAGGAGGAGGAGGAGGAGGAGAGGAGAGGAGAGGAGGAGGAGGAGGAGGCCTCTAATGGGCTTCGGAGTTCTTTGACGTTATGGTCGGTTCCTGGAGGTCTCCTTGCTTCGGGGTGCGTTCCAGCAGCCGTGCCTCGCCGAGAGCGTTCCAGGAGCGCCTGGATCGTCTCGAGCGGCCACCGCAGACTCGATGCACGGTCCAAGAGTCGGGCGTGAGAGTGACCCTTCGCCAGAGTGGCCTCCTCCTCCTCCTCCTCCTCCTCCTCCTCCTCCTCTCCTCCCCTCCTCCCTCCTCCTCCTCCTGCTCCTCCTCCTCCTCCTCCTCCTCCTCCTCCTCCTCCTCCTCCTCCTCCTCCCCTCCTCCTCCTCCTCCTCCTCCCCCTCCTTCTCCTCTTCCTCCTGCTCCTGCTCCTCCTCCTCCTCCTCCTCCTCCTCCTCATCCTCCTCCTCCTCCCTTTCGGTCCGGGCGCGACTCCTCCGTTCCTCCTCCTCCTCCTCCTCTTCCTCCAACTCCTCCTTCTCCTCCTCCTTATCCTCCTCCTCGTCCTCCTCCTCCTCCTCCTTCTCCTCCTTCCCCTTCTCCTCCTCTCCTCTCCTCCTCTCCTCCTCCCCCCTCCTCCTCCTCCTCCTCCTCCTCCTCTTCCTCCTCCTCCTCCCGCTGCCGCAGCCTGGGGCCGAGCAGAGGAGCCATGGAACACTCTCATACAGCGACTCCGCTGCCCTCCCTGGCAGAGGGAGGCCAAGCCCTGAGAATACAGGGGGCTCAACGCCACAAAACCGGAGGAAGGCGGGAAGCGTGAAAGCGCAAGAGCGACCCAACGCAGCCACGCGAGACGAGGCGAACGCGAGGTAAACTATCAGGAATGCGAAAGGATACTGGCCTTCCAGGTTGGGCAGTATTTTTGCGAGGGGCGCCCAGGTTGGAAAACGTCTGCACCCCTGGCCCTCCCGTGCACCAAGATGGCCCCAGCGCCGAGGCGGGAGCGCGCACCTTCGACGACGGAACCCGGAGACTGCACACACACACACACACACAAGCTGAAGCGGGGGGGGGGAGGGGGGGCAGGAGGGGGGCAGGAGGGGGGGAGGGGGGGCAGGGGGGGGGAGGAGGGGGGGAGGGCGAGGGGGGGCAGGAGACTTCACACGAGGGGGGGCAGGAGTGGGGGAGGGCGAGGGGAGGTACGTGGGGGATGGGGGGCGCAGACGCGGCCAAGAGGGCCACGCTGCCGCGCAGGAGCGTGGCCGCCGGGTGCTGGTAGCACCCGTCGACGGCGGCCGACCGCTCGCGCTCCGCAAGGCCACTGGCGAAGGCTTTCGCCATGCCCTGGCATCCCCCGCCCGTGCGGCCAAGGTGCGAGAGCACAAAGGGCGTGAGGCTGAGCATATGGTACTTGCGCCTCTCGTTGCTCTCCTCGCGCTCGATGAGCGCCCCAGCCCGGTGCAGGCGCGCGTCTCCGGGGAGTGCCCTGACAGTTTGGAGCGCCATTCTGAAGAATGGAGGAATGCAGCAGGCAATGCCGAGGCGGACAGATGGGCCAAGTGGGCAGCCAACGAGCTGGCCAAGCCCCGACCCGCCGAAGCACAAATAAACGAGTTCAGCTTTACATTATTGCAGCGGTTCCTCAGATATGTCTGCAAGGTCTTGCCAATTGAGCCTCCAAATGCCTCCGTGGCTGGGGGCAAAGCGTTGGCCAAACCGAGCAAGTAAAATTCCGTGCCTGTGGTGGCTGCATCCGCCTCTTCCTCCTCCTCCTCGTCCTCCTCTTCCTCCTCCTCCTCCTCCTCCTCCTCCTCCTTCTCCTCCCCCTCCCCC